TTTTGTATATTATAAATAGATATAGTTTTGAAATCTCACATCGAAATATATATATATTATTATTATTATTTTATTCGAGAATGTAGTAAATAGATATATTATATTTATATAAAATTAAAACTTTCAGACTTTTCCCAACCTGAAAAGAAAAATTTAATTAATTAATTAAATGTAATTGTTGATAACATAAATTAATTAAAAAACAATGAATGGTGCAGTTTAAAAACGTTTACAAATATTTGGTTTTGTATTGAATTAGCATACAATGCATTTAATTAATTAGTATCAAAAGGTGTTTTTATATAAAAATGAGGGTGTTTTACCTAATTAGCTGTCTCACATGCATCAATCCAATCATTATAAACATCTACTGGTTCAGATAAAAAATTAATAACAGTTTGGTAATCTTCCGAACATACTCGACATGATATCCTAGCAGTGTTTCTACTTTTGTCCCTAAAAATAATAATCGATTTATTTTAAGTTTCAATTTGTAAAAAAATAATCATAAAAAAATGTCTATACATTTTAATAACCCTTATTATGAGTGTATGATTAATATTGTTTCTTTAAAATCAGTTGATAACGTTTGAAAACGAAAATTTATTAAAGGTAAAACATAAAACGTTTTTATTGATGTGATAAAATATGCAAAAGTAGTTTCTTCTTTGTCTTACATTGTCACCCGCCAATTATGCATTTTAATTTCAATTGGGGAAAAAAGGTCGTTGAAATAAAAGAAACGAAAAATAAAATTAAGTTCAGGTGACTGTTGGTTCAATATCATTTGATGTCCTTTTATCAGTATAAATGTTTGTAAACTCAAACAATGAGGAATTGCACAAAATTTCAAATTGATTGTGCCTTTTATTAACCGATAATACAACTTACATTTTTACTTCACAAGATTTTTCATGATTACAAAACGGGCAAGTAAATTGTACGTCAAGAGGTTCTATGTTTTTTCTTTTGGGTGGAGGTTTTCGTTTGCTTTTCCTTCTACCCATTTCAATTAATTTTAATAAAAAATTTAAATTATATTTTTTTTAAATAATAAACATAAACCAACACCTCCAAATAAAATCTGTTTTATTTAATATGCGTCTATCGTAAAAGGGCTCCGAAAAATAGTTCACTCGTTTTAACGCATGAGCGCGCTGCAATCTGGCGTTGTTTGAGTTCATAACAACCTCCTAATGTCGTAGTTGTGAAGTAGTGTGTAACTTGAAGTGTAGTAGTTCGATATCGTTGACAGTTTCAAAAATGGCGTCAACAGAACTAAGTGCCGACGAACGTGCAGAAATTAAAGAACATTTTATAAGTGTGAGTAGAATTTATTATTATTTTTTTCTTTTTTTCTTTTAATTTTTCAAATTTTTTTTAAAATTATTAATCTAAAACAAATGAAACCGTTTATTAAATCTACTTTGAAAAGTATTCGGTTTAGTGTTTTAATTCTCGGACCTTAATCCAGCCTTGGCCTAGCCTATGAGTAGTCAATGCTTTCACTTAAAGGTTACACACCCATATTTAGTCATCTTTGATTACTCATAATATTTGAAGTTGGAATAATAATATTATTACGCCTTATTTCATTATTTAATTAATAATAATAATAATAATTTAAATTAAATTAAATTGCTATGTTAAAACTTTAATAATATACTCTGCCCTCCTCTGAGATGAACTCCCACTAGGATGAATTTATTTGACTTTTAAAAAAAAAAAACTTTATTTTGTACCTTGTGTTTGAAAAGAAAAATATTATCAGTCATAAGTTCTTTGCCCTTGAATTACTTGGTATTACATCATGTATTGTACTTTTGCTTAGTCCCCAGGAAAAAAAAAAAAAAAAAAAAATGCTAACATTATATTTGTAGATAAAATGAATTTTTTAATATTTTTTGTTTCCCTCCCCCCCAAAAAAAAAAAAAAAAAAAAAAATTTTGTCTTTTCTTTTAAGTTATTAATAGCATCAATTCGATTTTAATTTTTTTTTTTTTTTTTTTTTTTTTTTTACAAATTGAAAAAAAGGGGGACAGTTTGATAAGTTTATCAAAATTAAAAAATGCATTGGATCAAGGCGGATTTAAGTTACCGGGAGGGAAAGTAAGAAAACTTATCGAGGAATATGATGATAAAAAAAATACCCAACACGAGGGTCAACTTTCATTAGATGAATTTGAAAAGGTAAGTTTATATATAATTTTATTTTTAATTCCCAAAAAAAGTCCCCCATTTCCCCCCAAAAAAATGTAATAATTTCACTTACTTTCATTTCTTTTTTTTAAATTAAATTTAATTTCAATAATCGTTGAAATATTTTTTTTTTTTTTGATAAAACAATAATTATTTTTGCTTCGATAGGGAAAATTAAAAAAAAAAAAAAAAATTTTTTTTTAAAAAAAATATAATAACTTTTAAATAACATTATTGTTATATGCTTGAACAGCATTTGCAATCGAAAAAAAAAAAAATTGCTGACATTAAAAAGCATATAATTTAAAAACAAGAAAAAAAGTTATTTTTCTGTTAAGTACACATTAAAAATTATTTTTCATTTTGTTTTAATTAAATTTTTAATAATAATAATAATAATACAAATCAGTCAGTCAGTCAGTCAATCAGTCAGTGTATTCAAATTTAAAAAAAATATTTACACATAATTATATTTATATGTTTATCGTTGTTTAATTATTATTATTTTTGTTAGGTTTTATTATTTTAAAAAATTATTATTATTATTATTATGTAGTAGTAGTGGTACTACTACATAATAATAATAATAATAATTAAAAAAATGTTAAATTCAGTTGGGGAAAAGCAAAAAAATTAAACATTACTTTGACCCTGATAAAGTCACCCCATTAAAAAAAAAAATATTTGGTAACTTTTAACAATGAAAATTTGACAGGTAATGAGAGAGGAGGAAAAATAATAGTTTGCCATTATTTATTTTAAAAAAAAGAGAGAGAGAGAGAGAGAAAAATTGTTTGTTGGGGAGTTCATATTAGTTACATATCGATTCTTTTTTTTTTTTTTTTTTTTTTTGGGTTCTCCTCCTTCTTTCCCCCCCTTAGGGTTCCACGTGTATCTGTATGTATGTATTCGTTATTATCCTTCCGGATATATTTAAATTAAAAATATTTTCGTTCATGATTCTTATTATTATTATGGTCACTCTTAAACACGACAAGGCTCTTATTTGTCGGGGTTGTTAAGCATTTATCCCAGGTCTCTACCCGATTCCTTAGGGACAAATACTCGAATATCGGTGGTGCTATTTATAATATTTTCCGAAGAATGTGGGCCGTCCCACATAGTGCGATTTCCTGGATGGTTTCTTCTTTTAGGTTCTTCATAATCTTCTTTAAATTTCCTTTTATTGAATGTGGCATGGCTCCCAATGCTCCCACGATGACCGGAATCGTTTCAGTTTTTGTTCCCCACATCCTGGTTATTTCAATTTCCAAATTTCTGTATTTCAGCCTTTTGTCTGCTTCTTTGGCTGTGGTGTTTTTTTCTGCCGGCATTATTATTATTATTATTATATGGTGGAATGTGTAGAGTCGTGGAAAAAACGTGAACGTTCTTCTAATATGTCGTCGTCGTTGCACATAAAAAAAAAAAATTGGGTTACGATCGTGGCACATGATTTATTTGAAAACTTTTTCACGATATTTCGATCGGGTTAAAATCGAAGAAAGGAAACAAAGAGAAAAGAAATTAGTTTTTTAATCGTAGGCGGTTGTATTTCCTTCCTTTCACACCTGCCCATCATTATTATTATTATAATAACGATCATTATTATTATTATTATTATTATTATTATTTTAGATAGTTTATTGGTTTGCATTAAATTAAACAACTCATATACCTCTCACTCACTCACTCATGAATGAATTCGTTTTTTTTTTATTTTTGCATTAATATATTTTGGGTCAAATTGTGTGTGTGCGTGTGTGTTAAATTTGAGATGGGTTAAGAAAAGAGAAAGACAAATGCAATAATAATAATAATAATAATAATAATAAAAGACAGAAGAGTCGAAATCTAGTTTTTTTCGATTCTATTTACTATACTGAAAGAAAATCAGGCTTTTCTTCTTGTTTTAATAATAATAATAATAATGTTTAATTATTTTTTAAAAAAAAAAAATTTGGTTTCTTTATTATTATTATTATTATTATTATTATTATTATTATTATTATTATTCAAAACAACAACAACAACAATTCGAGAAAAAAAAAAAAAATTTCCCGCTTTTAAATAAATAAATAAATACGAAACCTGAAATTCAAGTCAAGTAAGTCACAAATATTTCTTCATTGTTTTCTTTTTTTTTTTTTTGGTTAGGTTTATATAAATAAATAAATAGGGAAAATTGGGGGGCGGAGGGGGGGGGAAATTTCGTCCATTGTTTTGGTGTGCTGAGAATGCTGGCTGCTAAATTTTTGTTATTGTTTCTTTTGGTTTCTTTTGTTTTGTTGAGATTTTTTTCTTTTTTTTTTTTTTTTTTTTTTTTTTTTTTCTCCTTAAAGTCGTTATTAATGAATTAAATGCCTCGGGTTTGCGAGTGCGCGCGCGTCTATCGATTTTGCTATATATATATATTTTTTCAAAAAATCGTTTTATATGAGAGAATTTTTTTTTTTTGATTGATTGACGTTAAATAAAAATAAGAGTTTTTCATCGGATCAAAATGTCGTAAAGTCAAAAAAAACAAACATAATAATAATAATAATTAACCTCATCAATTCTAAATCTGGGCGGGGGGGGGCGGGAAATCATCGATTTTATTTACTTAACCGTGACTGCGATTCTATTTTTCCGGACTAAAATAATAATGAGGAGAATGGGAAGAAATCGTACGTTTAAATGTTGGAGGAATTGTGTAATTTATTAAAAAAGAAGTAGTACCAACATTAAAAAAAAAAAAAAGCTAAAGGATTCGTTTATTAAAATAAATTTTTGAAATTTTTTAAAAAACATGCAAAAATTTGAAATTTTATACATAAAATGGTGAAAATTTCTAATGTTCAGACATGGAATAAAAATGTCGGAAAAATTCTCTATGAAGAGAATGAAAATGAAAAGAAAATATATAAGTAATAATAATGATGATGTTGATGATGATGATGATGATAATTTCCAAGCGATATTTTTTTCGAATCGTTTACGATTTCGACATATGAATGAGTTTTTGAATGCCCTTGAAAAGTTCATTATTTCGTCCAAGACTCGACTTCGTTTGTTTGTTTGTTTGTTTGTTTGTTCGTTTGTTTCATTCGTCCGGAAAACTTTTGCGACGAAGACGAGGTGTTGATGAAGAAGAAGAAGGAGAAGATGAAGGAGCAAAAAATATAAATATGGAAGAGGCGGTGTAAAATCGAGAGATGATCATCTTTTAATGCCACAAATGAAAATTTCACAGTTTCGAATCATCAAGAATTTGACATCGGGGAAAAATACATATGTACGAATATGTTTAAGCATACATAGGTACATAGATACATAGATGCATAAATACATACAGGCATATTTGTGTGAGCAGAGATGATATTTTTCTCTCGAATCAAAACAAGTATAAACAGTTAGTTAGTTAGTTAGTCAGTTAGTCAGTTAAAACAAAAATTTTTTAGTTAACAGTATTTTTATTCATATCATTATTATTATTATCATGATTTTTATTATTCGCGACCGGTATTTATTCGAAAAAAGAAAAATAAATTTTTAAAAAAAATTTCTCTCGTTCTCTCGGATTTTTAATTTTACGATTTTCTTTCATTTTAAAATAAAGTTTCGAAGGACGTTTTGATTTAAGTTAAAAAGTGATGATGATAATAATAATCGAAGATGTTTGTTTGAGAAAAAATCATATCAGATTCGTATGATAAGAGTAGGAGGGAGGGAGGGAGTTTGACCGCAAGGTCAGAAGTAGTACCACGACAATATCTATATAATCTTAATTAGATAGGTAAATAGGTGGTGTAGCCGTGATGTCGCGTGCGATAGATAAATAAGTAATTATTATCATTATTATTATCATTATTATTATTATTATTATTTCTTGTTAAAAAGAATAAAATTGTTGTTGTTTTTGCTGTATTCAACCGTGAATTTAAATTATCGACACCTTTTGTTTATTTATTTATTTTAATTGTGCGTAAATAATAAATCACGCGACGATGTTGTAAAATTATTTACATTTGGCAACATTTGCATTCGCGTCCGTCTGTCGTTTGTTTTCGTCTTGTTGTCGTTTGTCGTTCGTCTTTGTTTTTGTTTTTTCCATGACCTCTGGTAGGTACGAACTTGGTGTTTGTTTGTACTCTTTATAAAGTTTAATCAATCGTGACAGGAATCGAACGGGGTTAAAGATTTTTTTTTTCCCCTTTGTCTCGAAAACAAAATTCTAGTGGTAAACAACAACAACAACAAACAACTCGAATAATTTTGTTGTAAAAATTTTGCTACTTTTTTTTTTTTTTATTAATAATAACTCACGAGGAAATTGTTGTTAAATCGACAACAAAAAAAATTTTTATTTTGTCTGAAAAAAAAAAACAAAATGGAAAAGCAATAACAATAATGATATTTGGTGGTATAGTATTTTTTTCTAATTTGCGTTTATTACCTACAAATGGATTTTATTTATTTTTCCGGAATAGATTTACAGACTATTATTATTATTATTATTGAAAATATTCAAAATATTGTTTTGTTTTTTTTTTTTACGGCTATTTAAAAAAAAGCAAAAAATGAAAGGAAATTAAAAGGAAAAAACTCGTTTCAATTTTGCACGTTTTAAAAATTTTCGTTTCGTTTGTTAATAATTATTTCGTCGCATATTGAATCCGGTTTACTCGTTTTTTTTTTTTTTTTTTCGTGCTTTTATTTTTATTTTTTTTACAAACACACACCGTGGGGAGCATTTACCCTTTTATTATTTTCCTTTTCAATACACTCCCTAAAAAAAAAAAAAAAAACGTAAAAGCTGAAAAAAAATAATTTGTGGGAAAAAAAAGAAAGGCGGCGGCGTATATTCCCCCAGCGACTTATTTTACGACATTTCCCTCCCCCCCTCCTTCATTTAAAAATTTATTTTTATAATTTAAAAAAAAACGAACGAATCTTTAGAATTCTTAAAAGCGTTTTAATAACTAAATTTTTTTTTTTTTTTATCACCAAAAATTCAGGCACGAAACTCTTCGACTCGTTTATGCTTAATTTAAAAGTAATAAATTTTTTTTTTTTTATAAAAAAAAATAACGCAAAGTGCTCCGCGATTCCATGTCGAATAAAACTCGAAGGAAACCAGAAAAAAAAGAGTGTTTGTGAGAGTGAGAGAGAGAGAGAGAATGATGGAAGAACAAACGGAAAATTTTTTTGTAGACTCCGCGACGTTTAAAAATAATCGGTAAAGTGAAACAACAACAACAACTACAACAAAATACCTCCTGCCCGAGGGTGATACTTATAAATGTAGCAGCCGATTGTATGTATACGTAAATGGAATTCTATATTTAGGATTATTATTATTATTATTATTGACAATATTTCTCCTTGTTAAAACGGTCACCATTAAAGAACCATTATTATTATTATGTTTCGGTAAAACCAGTCCGTCGCGATCACGCGTCTGAGAAGTTTCACTGAATTAAAAAAAAAAAAAAAAAAAAAAAAAAAAAACATGGTTACTTATTTATTCAAATAGAATATTTATTTCGTTTGACTTTTTCTCTCCACTACTTCAGGTTCATGATGATATTTATTAAAATGGGGTTTTTAAACTTATTTATTTATTTATTAATGTCCCCCCGGATAAATGAATCACGATTCGTGTTCGAGAAATTTTGCATTTCGTGTGCCAAAAATAAAAATTTCCCCCCTTTTTTTTTTTTGGGGGGTTTTCCCCTTTTTGACGTTCATTCTTTTCACGGCAGATTAAAAACGCGAAAAATTTTATTACAATTACTCCCCCGTGGTAAAAAAGAAAAAAAGAAAAAGTGGAAATTATTATTCTGGAGGAGGTTTGTTTTGTTTGTTTGTTTGTTTGTTCTATCAAAGCGTGGTTTGTTGTTTTAACGGTTTTTTTATTAAAATGGGACGTAACATATGTCGTCGCGGTTCTTATTGTGTCAACAATATGACGACGAATATGGGTGAGTGAGAAATCATTGTGTCATCGTTATTTATTTAAAAAGTTTTTTGTTGTTGTGGTTTTTGTGTGTGTGTGTGTGTGTGTGTGTGTGTGTGTGTGTGTTTGTCTCCCCATTTCGGTTTGAACAAATAAAAAAAAAAAAAAAAAAAAAAAAAAAACCAATGTCGAATGTGCCTACACTATTAATTTGAATGAAACCTCTCGTCGTGATGTCACCGCCAATTAAATAAAAAAAAAAAAAAATCTCGGTTTAAGGTGCGTTACTGACGAGTGGATACAATGAGATTGTGTCACACGAGGAGTTTCCACCCCATTTTTTTTTAGGGTTGATGCGTGAAAAAAATAAAATAAAAAAAAAATACATAAAACTTAAAACGTTTGGCCACAAGCGGTTTTGGTTGTTTGATGAATGCGGCCCAATGCAAAAAAAAAAATTCGAAGGTGACGAAGGGAAATTTTTACCGGAAACAAGATGGTAAAATTTCACTAAGGAAATAATTACGTTTATAATTAATGAATATTCCCATTTTTTAAAAGAAAAGGGGGAAAGGAAGGGGGAGGAAAAGGAAAGAAAAAAAAATTTTTTTTTTTTTAATGGAATCAAATCACGATCGACTCGAGGCAAAAAAAATTTCATCAAGATGTTTGATGTCTTTCCATGGCGTGATTGCAAGAATAACAATTATTATTATTATTATTATTATTATTATTAATGCCGTTTTAAATTTGAATTAAGTCATTGTCATGTTTTTTTAAACGGTTTCTTATGTTTGCCGGATTCGGTTTGTTTGTTTGTTTCTTTTGTTTTTTTTGTCGATTTCATTCGGATTCGGAAGAACGATTTCGTTCGATATCCGAGTTTTATTAAAGGCCGTAATTTCCTTAAGGAATCAAAAGTAAAATTTGTAGTAAAAAGTTTGTTTTTTTTTTTTTTCGTGTTTGTCGTGCGTTTGTAAGTAATTTAAAAAAATTAAAAATAAAACGATGTACAAACGGTTGTGATACTTATTAAAAAAAAAAAAATGTAAAGTTTGTGGACACGAGTTATTCGTAACACGTAAAGAAAGCAGAAAAGAAAACTTTTTTCTGTTTGTATGCAACGAGAAAATTTTATTTAAAAAAAATGACAAAAACACGAATAAAAAGAAAAAATTTTATGGCAGGGGGGCGGGGGGCTATGGTGTCGTTAAGGGAAATAATGGAGGGAATGGAATAAAATAAAGGGTGCTCTAATGGGTGAGTTTTAAAAACTCGACGAGAAAAGTTGAGTAATAATTTAAATCGAACTGCCGGATACCTTTTTCATTTCATTTAAAAATTATTTTTTCTTATTGAATTTTTAATGGAAAAAGAAAAGAAAAGGAAAACTATTGGATAAAGAGAGTAAAAGGTGGTAATGGAAAAATCAAAAAAAAACAAAAAAACAAATAAAAATGGCGGAGTGAAAACGAATTCTCACGTTTTTTTCTCTCACCGATTTTCCCAACTCATTGATTTATTTATTTATTTATTGAAATTTTTTTTTTTTTTGGTAAACACATTTTTTTCATCGTTGGCGTTAAATAAAATTCCAAATTCGTAATTTGAGAAATTGTGCAAATAATAATTAACGACAAATTTATTTACTCTACGTCATGATTTCGGTTCCGCCATAATTTTTTCTACCGTGTAATTTTTTTTTTTTTTACTCGAGAAAGTATTTTTTTTTTTACATACCTGCCGACGTTTTGTTGTTGTCTCCTCTCTCTCTCTCTCTCTCTCATCTTCTGCTTGAACAAAACTCATTAATCGGTTTGCTTAATTTTTGGTTTGTTTTTCAGCTATGTGTCAATTTGAAAGCAAGCGAAGCGGGAACAAGATTCAAACAAGTCGTTTCGAAAAAAGAAAATTTAGAAACTTTGGGAGGAATGTCGGATGCATCGAGCGTGGGAACGACGCATTCCGTACGTTTGGAAGAACAATTGGCTTTCTCCGGTTGGATAAATAGTAACCTAATAAACGATCCCGATTTGAAACATCTTCTCCCGTTGGATCCCCAGGGAAAAACACTTTACGATAAAGTCAAAGATGGCATTTTACTTTGGTGAGTGAGTTTTCACATTGAAAAAATTTTAATTTTTTTTTTTTTCTTTGTATGAATTTTTGCCATCGGTAAAAATTCTGGGATTTAAAGGGATTTTAAATTCTTGATTTACCTCTGATTATTATTATGGTCGTCTTCTTGACGAAACGAATGGGACCAAAAAAAAAAAACAAATTTTCTCCTCGCCCGAACCTTCACCTTTCTCTCTCTCTCTCTCTCTCTCTCATTCCTCCTCCTCCTCCTCCTCTTGTTTCCATTATTATGAATGAATAGTCTCGAATTTTCACATGCGTTCAAGAACGCGAACGTGAGATTTTAATTATGTAAAATTCAAATGTTTTCGGTCGTACACAGTTAGAATATGATTCCGACGTCGTGATAAGAATGTGTACCTGTTTTCTCTCTCTCTCTCTCTCTCTTTTAAATAAAAACAAACAATTTACTTATACGGTGTGTGCATCGTGGTGATGTGTGTGCGTGTATGTGACAATGACACACGTAATTTTCCCTTTTTATTTTTACAGCAAGATTATAAATCATTCGTGCCCCGATACAATTGACGAGAGGGTTATCAACAAAAAAAATTTAACAGTGTACACAAAGCATGAAAATTTAACATTAGCACTTTCCTCTGCACAATCAATCGGTTGTAATATAGTCAATATCGATGCACATGATCTTTCAAAGGGAAAACCTCACTTAGTTTTGGGTCTTCTGTGGCAAATCATTCGGGTGAGTAAGACGGAAAAAAAAAGATGGATAGATAGATATAACATACCAAGAAAATGGCATGTAAAAAAAAAATGAATTACACGAGATTCATTTTGGTTTTTCTTATTTTCTACGTAATTATTTTACGTAGTCAGACAAACAAACAAAAATAACCAAAAATTAAATTGTTTGTTTGTTTGTTTGTTATTTAATTTGTTGGATTTTGCGGTAATTAAAGACGGTTGGCTAATCTTTTTTTTTTTTTTTTTTTTTTTTCTGGTGGTTTCTTTTCGTAATTTTTATTTTTTATTTTTATTACATATGTATCTTAGATTGGTCTTTTTAATCAAATTACTTTGGAGCATTGCCCCGGTTTGGCATCGCTTCTCGGAAATGGTGAGAAACTGGAAGATTTGATGAAATTATCACCCGAAGCCATTCTTATACGTTGGGTTAATTATCATTTGGAAAGATCTGGAATAAACAGGAGATGCAACAATTTCCAAAGCGACATCACGGATTCGGAAATTTATTCCCATTTGTTGAGACAAATCGCACCGCAAGATGCCGGCGTCACGATGGAAGCTTTGATGGTAAGTGTAAAGAAAAAGAAAATTTTGTGTAATGACGTCACGCGTGACACTTAACGTACGGAAAAATAATTTTATTGACATGATTTTTTCGAGATAATTGATATCTATGTGGGTTAAATCTGATTTTTTTTTTTTTTTGATATTTTATAACAAGTAATTATTTAAATTAAAATTAAGTAATTTTTCGTAAGCCTTTTGGACATGATGTGTGTGGCAGATAGAAAAGGAAAGAAAAACAAAAAAGAAAGAAAGAAAAAAGTTTTCTCACTCATATATAATATTTTTAATGAAAAAGAAAATTAACGACGCACGAAAGTTATTATAAGGTACAAATGAACATGTTTATCGTGTAATAATAATAATAATAATAATGGAAAAAACGACACGTGTGTTAAAAGATTTCTATTTAAAATTAAAAATTTTTTTTTTTTTTTTTTAATACTTTCATATTATTTATTGTTGTTGCCCTTTTGTGTGAGATGATGACGTCTCCCTATTTCGGTTTTAGAAGGTATCATATAAACATTTAAAACTCGACGGATGATATGTTTTTTTTTTTTTTTTATTTTAATTAGGAACCTGATTTATTGAAACGAGCTGAATTGATGTTGGAACAAGCTGGAAAATTGGGATGCAGGAGTTTCGTGACGCCGATCGACGTGACGACGGGAGTGTACAAGCTTAATTTGGCTTTCGTCGCGAATTTATTCAACAATCACCCCGGATTGGACAACACGGAAACTTTCGACGGTTTAGAAAACATCGAAGAAACGAGAGAAGAAAAAAGTACGAGAAAGAGAGAGAAAGAAAGAGAAAGAGAGAGTTATTGATTATTATTATCGATTGGGCGTTCGAATTGTTTTTTTTTTTTTTTTTTTTTTTTGTTCAAATGTTTGATTTATTATGACGTTAAGGATTTGCTATTATTATTATTATCATCATTATTATTTTCAGCTTATCGGAATTGGATGAATTCGATGGGAGTTTCGCCTTACGTGAATTGGCTTTATTCGGATCTCGCGGACGGTTTAATTATATTTCAATTGTATGACGTCATAAGGCCCGGAATCGTCAATTGGAACAGAGTTCATAAGAAATTTTCTAAATTGAGAAAATTCATGGAAAAATTGGAAAATTGTAATTACGCCGTGGAATTAGGTAAACAACTCGGGTTCAAATTGGTCGGCATTGCGGGAACGGACATAAACGACGGAAACACGACGTTGACACTCGGTGAGAAGAAAAACTATTATTATTATTATTATTATTATTATTATTATCAAAAAAAAAAAAAAAATGAGTTCAGCAGCATTCGAATGATGGCATTTTATTAATTTTGTTTGTTCAGCACTCATTTGGCAATTGATGAGAGCGTACACGTTATCCATATTGACTCAGTTGGCAAACACGGGTAGTCCAATCATCGAAAAGGAAATTGTTCAATGGGTCAATTCGAAATTGCAACAGCACAACAAAGAATCCACCCTTAAAAGTTTCCAGGTACTTTTGAAAAGTTCAATAACCTGCGATAATAATAATTATTATCATCGTATCTGACGTCACATTTTCTTTTTTTTGTTCAGGATCCCACCCTTGCAGATGCCAGAGTTGTCATAGATTTAATCGATTCCATCAAACCGGGTTTGATTAATTACGAATTGGTTCGAAGCGGAGGAACCGAAGAGGTTCGATTTGTTTTTGGTTTTTTTCACTTCCGTTTTGAATAGGAAAACAAACGGATATGCTAAAACTGTATTTCTTTTCTATCCCACAGGATAATTTAGCGAATGCAAAATACGCCATTTCGACGGCTCGTAAATTGGGAGCAAGAATTTATGCCTTACCCGAAGACATAACAGAAGTCAAACAAAAAATGATCATGACAGTTTTTGCTTGTTTGATGGCAATGGATTACGTTCCAAACATGGATATAAGGCAATCGTAGCCGCGCACTTATGTACTTATTATTAATTTAATTTACATTTTAAAGGAAAAAAAAAAAAAAATTTATTTTTTTAAGGTTTTGATGTGTGTAATCTTGAACTACTTTCGTCGAGTGAAAAATATTTTTAAAGGTTTTTTATTTTATATATATTCGGTTAATGATAATAATGATGATAATAATAATAATAACAACAATGGTAATAATGATGGAAAAACTCATTGTACTAGTCTGACGATTAACATTAACGAACGATCACAGCATAAGGTTCGGGGGGGGGGGGAATCACGTGACTTTTTTAAAGTTCGTACAGAGTGAAATAGAAAGGGAGAGGGAGGGGAGGGGAGGGGGAAATTAAAAAAAAGACAAATGCATTTCAGGCACAACGTTTGCATTTAAAAAAAAAAAAAACACATTCCGTTAATTTTCTCGTTATCGATCAATATTTGCTGAGGTTTTTTATTTATTTATTTTTAAATGTTCATCACGTGATAGAAATATTCGCGGTAATTCGATGACATAATTTTTGTTTGCCATCGATCGATCGATCGTTTGTTTGTTTGTTTGTTTGTTCGGTTTTTTTTTTTTTTTTTATGCACGTATTCACCGAATAAGGTATGAGGTTAAACAAAAAAAAATTTTTTTTTTTTTAATATTATTTTTATTTTATTTAAAGTAGTTCAAAACTTATTATTATTATTATTATTTTATTAACCGGAAACACTTGTAATATCGGTTTTTAACACAAAAAAAAGGAAATACTTGAAAATTTATATTTATTTATTTAATTATTTAAAGAAAAAAAGAAATTATAATATTCGTATGATATTATGAAAAAATTAAATAATAATAATAATAATAATCCGGGAGTTTTTTTTTTTTCTGTCCGAACGGCATAATAAGAAATGGGAAAATTTATTTATTTATTATTATTATTATTTTTCACGAACGTAATTTGTGTGTGTGCGTGTGTGGGCGTTTGTGCGTGTACGCAGTTTATATATATATATATAAATAAATTCAGGGTTATTCAAAATTATTTTATTTTTTACTTATGTTAATAATAATGATAATGATAATAATATTTGTTTTTATTATTTTTATTTTTAATATTATTTAATATTATTTATTAAAAATATATTATAACCACCCGAAGAGAGAAGGAAAGGAACAAAAATTTTTATTTTTATTATTATTATCGATAATAATTTATTAATTTATTTAATATATATATTTAAAAAAAAATTTTTGAAATGAATTATTTTTATTATTATTATCATTATTATTATTGTATTTTTGTTTTTTTTTTCTTTATTGTTGTTTTTTTGTGTTATATTATTTACTGGATAAGTCATGAAATAATTTTTTTTTATTGGTAGCATTTATTTATTTATTTATTTATTTATTTAAATAGTAAAAAACTTATTTTGAAATTTATTGTCTATTAATTAACGTACTTCTTTTTTTTGTTGTTTCCGTATGTAATTTTATGTATTTAAAAGAGAGAGAGAGAGAGAGAGAGAGAGAGAGTGGGAGAGAGTGTGAGGGAGTGAAAGAGAGAGATATATATAAAAAAAATTTGTATTTTTTTTTTTTTCTTTTGCTTTATTAAATTTTTGCTTTTGTTTTATTTAAATTTATTTATTTATTTTATTATTATTATTATTATTGTGGTTAAAAACAAAAAAATGAAATATATAAATTTATTATTTATTATTATTATTATTATTATTGTTTTTTTTTTTGATTTTGTTTGAGTTAATAATAATAAGGATAAAAAAAAAAAAAGAAAAATTGAATTTTTTTTAAAGAACAAAATAAAATTGTTTAATTATTATTATTATTATTATTATTATAAATGGGTACGTAATAGGTTTTTTTTTTTTTTTTTTTTTTAAGAGAGAGTGTTGCGGTGTGCAATAAAAATTTTAGTTACCGCAAAATTTAATAATAATAATAATAATGGATTATATATATATGAAATAAATTTTTTTTTAAAAATTTTTTCAACCCCTTATCGGCGTTTGTGATGATGATAAGAATTAAAATTTTTTTTACCCCCTTTTTACCCTTATTTGTGAGTATTTTATACTGTATATGATAGTAGTAGTGATAAGACGCTGATAAGACATCAAAACATTCATAAAAAAAGCTTTGCTCATAGCAAATTTTTATGCCAACCAATACTCGCTTACGGAAAAAAAAAAAAAACTTTAAAAGGCTGATTAATTGCCTTAAATTTTTTTTTTAATAATAATAATAATAATAAATTTTTCATCGCATCGCTAATTAATTAATTAATTAATTACGTCATCGTAAATATTTTATTTAAATAATAATAATAATAAATATTTTTTTAAATTGTATGAATGTATTTTTTAAAAAAACGCGAAAAAAATTTTAATAAATTGATAATAATACTTTTATTTATTTATTTATTTATGTCATTTTTTTTTTACGATAAATAAATAAATACATAAATTATTTTTGTAGTCGATATTATATAATATTAATAAATAAATAAATAAATAAAAATTTTGTAAAAAAGAAAAAAAATAAATAACAATTTTTTTTAAATTTTCCTCAACGGATAAAAATAAATTTTATTAATTAATAATAAATTAATTAAACGTTATTAATTAATAAATTTTTATTGATTAATAATAATATTTATTAAATGTTTTTGTGTTTTTTTTTTGTTTTCATGTTTTCATGTTTTTGTTTATGTTTTTTTCTTAATTTTATTAACTTTAAAAAAAATTTCTTTTTTTCGAAGGTTTATTTTTTATTATTATTTTTAATATTTAAAAAAATAATAATAATAATAATATATTTTTTTTAAATAACCGGAAGTAATTATATTTTTGTTTTTTCGTAAATCTCGTTTTATTACTTCTAAGGAAAAAAATAAGTAAATAAATAAAAATAAATAAATCCATAGATAAGCAAAAAAAAAAAAATTTTAACGATAATTTTCAAGGTCGATTCTTATCATTTTTCTCCCACTTTTCTTTTTTTTTTTAAGGAAAATTTTTTTTTAAAAAAGGAAAATAAATAAAATAAATATTTAATTAATTAATTAATTTATTTATTAATTTATTTAATTATTAAATTTATAATTCAATTCAAAAAACAAAATATAAAAAAAAAAAAAAATGAAAACAAAAAATAAACAAAAGAAAAAAGAAATTAAATCGTAAATAAAATTTATTTATTGAGTTCAATTAATAATAATAATAATATATATATATATCGAAGAAATTTATTTAAATATAATAATAATAATAATAATATAAATAACAATAATGTGTAAGTACAGAATGAAAAAATTCTATTAAATTTATTTTCCCCACTACAAAATATTTATTTATTTATTTTTAATAAATTTGTTTACATATGAATAATTGCATATATAATATATTATTATTATTATTATTATGTAATAATAATACTAAATAAAGCAATATTTTTGTCAATAATAATAATAATAAAATGTAAACCGAAAAAAAGAGACAAAAACTGAGAAAAAAAATTTTAATTAAATGTTTAAGGCGTTTTTTTTTTTTTTTTTTTTGAAAAATACGTTAAGATGATGATGATAATAATAATAATAATTTTTTTATTTATATCTAAAAACTTGTTAATACGCGAGATTAATTAATTAATTTACGTAATAATTTAATCTAATTTTTTTTTTTAGTTTTTTTTTTTTTTTGGTCTCTCTCACATTCGAACCTTACTTAACTAACAACCAACATTCAAGTCTTCATTTTTAATTATATTTGTATTGACTAAAGAAAAAGAAATTTTTTTTTTTTTTTTTTTTTACTCTCAATGATGTTATCTAATAATAATAATAATAATCGTAATAAAAATCAATAATTTCGAATCAATATTTTTTTTTTTATATAGTAAACTCTGAGAGAGGAACAAATTTGATGAAAGAGGGGAGGGGCCGAGAGGGATGAATAGGGAGGAACAGGGGGCGGGCACAAACGCGTTTTTTTACATTTAAAAGAAAATTATTATTATTATTTACGCAGCATTCAATTTTATTTTTTTTTTTTACATAATTAATAGAAAAAATATTTGTTTTTTTCGGGTTAATTATACACAAATTTATATATATTTAACTTTTTTCTTTTTTTTTTTTTTTTTTGGTACAAATACAAATCGTTTTTTTTTTTTTTTTTTTTATATGTTTGAAAAACTGCGTTCATAAAAAATATAACCGATTCTGTTAAATATTTAAATTCCCACAGCCATTTTTATATTTTTATTTTTTTTTCATTTTTATTTAAAATACATCTTTTTTTTTTAAAAAAAAATAATGTTTAAAATCAATTAATTGTTTTTTTTTTTTTTTTTATCGATCGATTGTAAAAAAAAAAACACAAAAAAGCTTGATTGCGATTAATTACCAATCATTTTTTTTTTTTTTTTTTGGACGACTACTACTCCTTTTTAATTGAAAAATTTTTTTTCCATGTTAACAATTTTTTTTTTTTTTTGTTGAAAGTAAAACGATTTTCGATAAATGTATGAAAAAAATTAAAGAGAGGGAGAAAGAAAGAAAAATAGGAGGTTTCTAATTTTTTTAAATTAAAAAAATCAATTAATTGACCTAAAAGAATTTTTTTTTTTTTTTTTTCAGTAATTTACAGATGTTTTTCTTCTCAATTGGTTTCATAACTGCCCAGTAAAGCTGCATCAACTGGTTCCATACAAAAAGGACATGTGAATGATCTCCTGAGCCAATCATCGATACAGCTACGTGATATATGTGTAAGCAGAGTTTCTCACGATTCACTATAAAAATCCACCATGCAAATACACATTCTCTACTTTTTTGCAACCATCATAAACTCCAGTTGGCAAATGTTGAATGTATCCTATTCTTTTAGCAATTTTTACCTGTTCTTCTTCTGTGAGCTGAGAAACTGTGCAACTTACATTCGGTGAAGGATAATAAATGGGTAAGTTTTGATTACTAATTGTTTCCTGATAAGTTGGAGGAGGTCCAAGTTGTTCGGATGTTGCATCTTGATTTGTTTCATTTTCTCTTATTAATCTGATGTCATCCGATGTTGACCTCTTTAAACAATTTCCCATTTTTTTCTTTTTCTTTTATTTTTTTTTAATTATTGTTTTTCAAATAATAAAATAAATAATTTGAAATTATTATTATTATTTATCGGTGTATTTACAAATATAATCTTCATTTGAAATTTTTTTTTTTTTTTAATTTATGCTCATTTGATCATTTTGTGACGAGAATAGATTTTATGCTTTGTTTTCCTTAGTTTCTAAAAATGTTCATTGCAATTGAAATATGTAATGAACAACATTTATTACTATTTATTTATATAATATCACAGTCTATTTATCTGAAACAAAATGATAAAAATAAATTTGTAAATATTTTCACAGCTTACTTTTACATGGTTAAAAGAAAAAGTAAGGAAGACATTTAATAAAAGCTCTTGATGTGTTTAACTATTTTGAATTTGAATGGAGGCAACCAACATGAAAACTTTTTATTTCCACACAATAACAAAACAAATTTGAAAGGTTTTAAAATAATTACTTAACAGAAATACTTATGAAAAAGTTACTTAACTAGTAGCAATTCAACCTTGAATACATTACTAGGACAGAGTATATTATGTCACAAAACAAAGAAAACCACATATCCAGCTTTTAATAAAAAAAAAAGAAAGAAAAAATGACAGAATTTAAATAATAAATGAATACATTTTAAAAATAAATAAATCGATAATTAAAAAGAAAAAAAAAAAAAAAAAGGAAAAATTGACTTTGAAAAATATAATAAATTACTGAGTCCAATGACATTTCAATCCAGAGACAATAAAAAATATTATTTACCTCAGCTACAAATTTTTTTTTTTTTTTTTACAAAACACATTCAAATAAGACGACAAAAAACGATATAATATTAATTAAAAATAAAAATCCATTGTAACGGAAATGTTTTTAATCGGTAATGTTACATAAATTAAAATTAAATTGTAAAAAAACAAAAATAATAATAATAATTAAAGCTGTGATTAGAAATAAATTTAAAAATACTTTCTCCTAGAAGAAGAAAATTATAACAACCAGCAGACGATGACTATGCACCAACAATAAACATTGGAAAAAAAAAAAATAGGGCCCCGAAATAATATTTTTAAATTTTTTTTTTTTGTTTTTTCAGAGACTTGAATTTAATTATATTCGGATTAAGGCGGTTTAACTTTTAGTTTGTGTGTATTTTTTTTTTTTTATTTTTTAATATTGTTCCGTTAAGTTTTTTTTGTTAAATAATTGATGAAAAAAATTTTTATTATGTTTTTAGTGACGAAATAAAGTGAAGGAATGGTGTAAATAATTTGTGTAACGGTTTTAAAAGTTATTGTTTATAAATTTGTTTTATTTTTAAGTGAAATCTCTCTGAGCACACTTTGTGTAAGCAAGTAAGTTTTAATTATTTTTTAATATTTATAATTATTTCACTTTAAAATTGCCTTTTTTTAATGTAAATTTAAAATTTAAGCAAACGATTCGTTAAAAATAACATTATTTTTCTAAAATTAATAATTTTCCAACATTTTAATAATTATTCTGGTATAGTGTTCATAATTTAAAATGAATACCAGATTACTTATTTTATTTAAGATTTCACTTATTTTTTTTTTTTTGGGTTAAAATTTATTTTATGCAATCGATTAAAAAAAAGAAAAACTTTTTTTTTGCTCCCTAATACATTTAATTATTTTTATAAAGTTATGTTAATAATTTTTATGCAAATTTAAAACTTTTGCAAATAACATAAATAACTTCAATCGAATTAATAATGATTAATGCATTATTACTTTTATGAAATTTTGTCTTCGAACAATTGAAAATATTTTATAACAAAAATAATTTTTATTCGAATAATTCTCAAAATGGAATAAGCATTTGAAGATTATTATTCATTAATATTAATTAATTATTCAATAATTATGGAAACTTATTTATTCTTATTATTTATATTTTAATGCAAAAAAAAAAATTACAACATAAAAATAATTTTTGTCGATTGATTATTTTTATAAGTTTTGGTAAAAATTAAAAAGTTATAACTTGTACTCTATCATCGAAACAATTTTTAACTTGTTATTAAAATATATACAAAATATTGATTATTATTTCAAATATTAACTAAAATTTGAAATGTTTAAAAATTTATCTTTAGTCGAACCTGAAAAAAAATTTTTTAGTTAAAATATTTAATGGAGTTAATTTAGGTGATTGTTCGAATAAGAAAAATTAACAATTTTTTTTTTTTTTTTAAATGCTGAATTTTTAATTTTTTATCGTTTTAAAAAAACATTCTTTAATGCATTATTTTTTGTTCATACATTTTTTTAATTTTAAATTTATGTTTGACATTTTTTTTTTTTTCTTCTTTCTTTCAAATACTAATTGCAAGTAGTAATTTTTTAAAAAGAAATTTCATCATTTTCAATTTTGTAAAATAAATTTAAAAAAGGGATAGTAGTAGTCATTATATTATTTTGTGTCAAAACTAATTTGTGCATTTAGTTTTTCATGAAATTCAAGGGCACATAAAATACCTTTCATAAACTTTTATTTATGTGAATTTAAAATCAAAAAAAAAATTATTATTATTATTATTATTATTATTATTTTGTTTCTTTTTGGTTCTTCATATAGATTTTTAAATTCTTCTTTATTTTTTTTTTTTTTTTTCTCATGGCACAAGAATAAAAAAATAAAAATCAAAATTTGAAAATTTTTTTTTTTTTTTGTTAAAAGTGACCTCAGACTGTCATTAAAAATAAAAAAATAATAATAATGATAATGATGATGATGATGATGATGAATGAATGAATAAGAGAATAATAATTTAAAAATAAATTTGGCAATGATACGAGTATTGCATGAAAGATGATTGAATCTTTAAGAAATTTTTGTGCCAAAAATGAAAAAAGAAAAAAAAAAAGGTCGCAATAACCGGGGGCGAGATAAGGTTTTTGGCTTGACCTTTGATTAAAAAAAAAAAAAAAAAAAATTAATATATTAAATACGGAGGTTGTGACCAAAAAAAAAATAAAAAAAAGGAATTTAAGGCTATTGTATTGACACGGCCGTCGTGGAAAATTTTATTTTTTTTTTTTTAATTCGTTTTCACATTTTTTTACGACTTTCCTTCGGTCATTTTAATTTTTTAAAAAGTTTAATTCGAAATTTTAATTAATAGACAGACTTGATTGCATTTTAAAATTTTTGCTTGGAAACTAAAATCTAATGGTGAAAAAAAAAAAAAAAAAAAATTCCGTTAAAATTTAATAGTTTCGAAATGGATTTTTCAATGTCAGAATCGAATAGAATAGAATAGAACTTTTAATTCATTGCATTTTGTTTTTTTTTTTTTAATTTTTATTTTTACGGTTTGAGTAAAAAAAAAAAAAACATTAGAAAGTAAAAAAGTATATTTAAAAAAAAAAGAAAAATGTTACTTTCGAGTAATGTGTCGTCATCACGTGTACACGACGCCATCTTTCACCTTGTCCTTCTATTTTTTTTTGAGGGAGAAAATTATTTTTTGTTTATTAATTTCGTATTGTTTATAATCCGGAATTCGATTCGCAAAAAAAAGTCGATCTTTAATCGATTAATCGATTTTGCTACAGAAAAGTTCTGATCTCCTGATGTTTATATTTTCCTTAATTAATCAGGGTGGGACGCTGCGAATAGTTTTTTTTTTTTAAATAAAAAATGTCGTTCCCGCCAAAAAAAAAAAAAAAATTCTTTGACGTAATAATTTAATAAGTCAGTTTAATTAATTATAAAAAAAAAAAATTAATTAAAATAATTATTTATTTATTTATTTATTTTTTGAGGATTTCCATAATTTTCCTTTTGCTAATTTTTTTTTTTTCTATCGTTGAGGAATTTCTGTTTTCGGGCGTGTCTCTTTTTTTTCTGGTTTTAGGGTTTCTCGCCTCTTGGATCCTTATTTCCGCATCGAATACCGTTTTTAACACCACGTGGTCATGTTTATATTCGTGTAAAACTCCCACGCTAATTATAGGCGGGAAGATGAGTTTATCACGTGGGTCCGTGATCTTTGCAAATATGGAGACGATTTATTGTTTTGTTTTTAATAATAAATAAAAAATCGTGTTTTGCCAAATTGAAACGGTGAAATTAAATTTTTTAATTAAATTTTAAAATGAACGTAAATTTAAGAAAGAGTCCGAATTAAAAAAAAAAAAAAAAAAAAATCCCGCGTCAGTAAAACGATTAATTTTACCTGCCTTTTTTTTTTATATTTATTAGGTAATTATAATACGTTTCAATTTTATTTTTTTTGTTCGTAAATGAATCAGCAATACAAAGAGGTTTCAAATCGTGATTGAATTTTTTTTATTATTTTTTCTTCTTTCTTAGAATGAAATAAATAAAAAATTATTTTCAAAACGTGAGCTTCCAAGGAATAAAATAATAATAATAATAATAAAAATGGTAGCCTTGCTCAATCACGAATTAACATTAAATTTTTTTTTTTTTTTTAATAACATAACTTTTTAATAACTTTTAAATAATTGTTTTTTTTTTTTTTTTTATCACCCTTTGAATTTAATGCGAAAATAATTTTAAAAAAATATTAATAATAATTGGAAATTGTATATGATTTAGTTACAAAAACGATTATCGTGATAATAATAATACGTAGTCCAGAAAAAAAAATCCAGGAAATGTAATTTATCCTGGAGGAAAAAAAAAAAATCATAAAAGCGTTAAAATTGTTTAAATCTCTCCACAAAATAATAATCGATTTCGAATTAGTCATTCAACCAACGATAAAAAATTTTTTGCTCCAATGAAATTATCGATTCATTATGTTCACCCGATGAGAATAATAATAATAATAATAATAATTAAAAAAGTAACAGGAAGTCATAAAGTTATGTAATTGTTGATTTTTTTTTTTTTTATTATTATTATTTTATTTTTTTTTTAAATACCTATTAGGGATTTTTTTTGCGACCTTCATTTATATGTATTTTTAAAAAAAACCGCAAAAATTAAAAGGCATTCATTGCACCTGAAAAATAATAATAATAATAATAATAATAATAATAAATAAATAAATTTTTTTTTTTTAAATTTATATGTGCAAAAAAGTAAAATAAGGTTATTAGTTTAATTAACGATCAAGTTGATGCCTAAATAAAGAAATATTAATAATGATTAATCGGGCGAATCAAGGTTTTTTTTAAGTTTTATGTTTTTTATGTTTTTTATGTTTTTATGTTTTTTTTTTCCTTAATGGAAATAACGTTTTTTTTTTTTTGGGATGATTTTTTTTTTTTTTCTTTTTATTGTGACTTTGTGTTTTTCGATTTCGAGGTAAATATCGAATGATTTGTGGGGGTTTTTTCTCCGGTACAAAGTCTTGCACTCGCGATTACGTGTCATCGATGATGATGGCAATAAAAGAAAAAAGTTCGGAGAATTTTTTTAAGGGAAATTTTATATAAAAACAAACAAACAAACAAACAAACGTCAATAACCGATTCGTTGCATAATGTTCGGGAATCGGGTAGGTTAACAACTTTGTTTTTTAAGGTTGTTGATGAGGACATTGGAGGTAAAAAGTTTTTGCGAATTTTTTT